CATCATCATCATCATCATCATCATCATCATCATCATCATCATCATCACCAATCCCACTCACAGGGCACAAAGAAAACCAAGCCCGTCTTGCGTCATCTGCCATTGGCAGGTATCTTTTCAAGGACTTAGTTCCACAAAGAAAAAGACTTGCCACCAATAGTGTCCCATTGGGAATCTCAGAGGGGTCGATTTGGTCCCACATACCATACCATACCTATCAGGCGAGTGTATCCCAGGTACTCGCTAAATCACGTGCTCAACACGAGTCAATTCGCTCTGTTCTCTGCGCGCTGCCGAGTTGTCAACGGCGGGACTCAATGGACGTTCGGTGAGTCGTTGTTCACGACTGGGGCGGATATCTCCCCTCTATTCCTCGGGCCATCTCAGGCCATCTCAGGCCATCAGGCCTATATGCCGGCTATATATTGGGTCTATCATACGGTCTATCCTATTACCTGTAACAGTGGATGATGGTTAGGTTGCGGGCCTATAGTCCAAAAAAAGGTGCGAAGTGTGGCTGTTGACAGCTAAGTGCGGACAGACCCTAGCACTGCCATCCCTGCAGGCCATCCATCCTGCCATCCCACGGCCTCCTGGTGTTCCGGCGTGGTCGAGAACTCGGCTACCGGCCGGGCGGACGCCGTCCGGCCTTGGTGATCTCGGGTGTAGCGAACGGACGGTGAGCTTGGGGGACGAAGAGATGCATTCAATTGGTCCAACAAAAACTAACACTAACTCATTGGACTCATTGTGTGATCAACATGTGATTGGCCGCTCTTTGAACAAAACATGATTGAACTAACATGTGACGTGCACGGGAAAGTTCAAGTGCATGGGAAAGCAACTTGTGAATCCTCATCATCTTCTCTTCTCGTCGTGTCTACAGGATTCATTCAGTCGCATGTTCCGTCCGAATTCTGTCCCTAATGACGGTTCGTGCGCTTGAAAACGAAGTCCAGTGTTCCGTTCCAATTAACATGACGCCCGGCAGAGGACTGCATGACACTTCAGGCAAGAGTACGTAGCCTACAAATCCACTTCTCAACCACTACGCAGACAAAAATCAAGGTCTCTTAGACCAAACAAGCCTGGCCCCTCTGAATGCGGGAGGCGGATTTTGAAGACGATGCCACAAGCACCAGCAGGCTCCCCATGTAGCGCTAACTCTTCTGCCAAAGCAGGGTCTTGAGTGCACGAGGTGGGGTGCCTGCAGCACGGCAGTTCTCTTCAAGCCTGGGATACTCAAACAGAGTCCACTCAATCCAGCCCATCAGAATCGGCTGCCCACTCGCAATCTTGATGAATTCCAAGTGAAAATGCCTCAACAGTACCCAAGTGGACTCTCAGAAGATTAGCTGAAGACATCCAAACTGAATTGCTTGCCTTGAGTGGACATGCAGCATGGCCAAGAATCTATCAAACATTGCTGGAATACAGGTGGATTTACTGTAACTGAACTCATGCCAGGTTCTATTTTCCAATGCTTTGGGAAAGCACGTTCTCTTTCCCTGCCGGGCCCCCCCCATCATCCCCTATCACCCCACAAGCCGCACGCCTCCACATCACAATACTTCCGGGTCGATAACCTCACCATCAGCTGTCAGCAGTTCTTGGATCTCTCAGGTGAGAAGTAGATGCAAAGTAGTTTCAGGCTACGTGGCACAATCACCAAGTTTGGTTTACATGGTTTATATATGGGCCCCCATCTTAAAAGAAACATCTTGGGTTGCCAGGGCCATCTTCACCTCTGAAACCACTGTAATCCCCTTGTCAAGTTAACAGTGTTGGATGATCAGAATGTCCTCTACCACTGGAGCAGGGGGGTGGATGGGACGATGGGACGTGGGAGAAGATGTGCCATGGGCTGCGCCAGCGGCCAGCGGCCAGCACATCGCCTCCGGCGGATCACGCGTCCAGCTACCGAAGGCCCTCTGAAAAGCTGGCTGCGCAGTGGGCACGCTCCCAGTGAAGACATGGCGGCCATGTTGCAAGAAGCATGTTGTAGACCCAAACCAGCCAAGAGTCGTGGTGTTCAACCGGTCCCAAATCAGCCCATCAAGGGAAAAGAATTAGTTCTTAAGAAAAGAAATTCCTTGGCAACTCAGTGCATAATTCTTCAACAACCAGACTGGAAACCATCTATCCAATGGTCCCTTGGTCCCCCTTGCGCCAAGGCTCAATCCATGCCCAAGCGATGGCCGCGCAAGAAGTCGCGCAAGCCACCCGCCAACGTCAGGCGCAAGGCGCGGAAACACACCACCTACGAGGTGCGGCTTGGGGTGAGCTGAGAACAGCTGGATACTTCAACCCAAGAGACCACAGACATGCACCAAGAGTATCACTCACATCGGAGTGGTTTTTCCCATCCAGTGAATGGGGTAGTAGCTGGGCACCCCGACTTTCTCCAAGCTCGGTACTTCTACCAAAACATGCTATAGCAAATGGAAATGGCTAAAAAAATGTGACTCCTGGCAATTGCTCAAAGATGGGACGTCCAAACTGAAGCTTAAGCGATGGGATGAGAGATTGGAGAACAACACACGACATCAACTCTTTATGGGAAATTATAGGAACATCTTAAAACAAGCCTACCTCTGTTTCGAAGATTGTTGAGGTGGGTGCCAGGGGGGACAGGAGCGCCAAGACGTTCTGCTAAACTCCTTGCAGATCATTTTTCCATCTTGCGCCCCACACACTCTACGGCAGGCGTACCGGAGGTCCTGGAGAAATTGGCTGTCCCGGCCGTTCTACTTGTATTTTGCATGCAAATTTCAGCAGGGGTGTGACTCCAGGGTTAAAACCACCAAACCTGGTCTGCTCGATCGAAAATGAACGGAACATCGACGACATCCGGATTCCAAAGATGTCAACCTACCAGGTTGACGCTCCGGCTGCTTCCCTCTCGCCAGTGAACCTGTGGAGGGAAGTGGCGAGAAGGGTCAGCAGCCTGGAACAAAACCTTGTCAATGTCAATCAACTGCCCATTCCTCCCTGAAAGATGCTTGAAGTGTGTATCAATCAAAATTCTAAACTCCGGGGGCAATGAACCCCCCAAACCCTGGCAGCTACACGTCGCCAGCTAAGCAAAACCTTGTTAGCTTTCAGTGGAATTACATCCAATGACCCATAAACCCCTGAAACCTTCACCTCTTGTCTTGCCCTGCTTATGAAGGAAGGCCCCCCCTTATTTCTAAAGAAAGAACACACATGTTTTTAGTGTGAGTCTTCACCTTGTCTTCACCTAACATTCGGAACCTTCGCCCTCCGCGCAGGTGGCGCTCGCTCGCATCACGCGGCCCCTCCGATTCGAATCCCAGGCACCTTCCGAGCAGGGAGGGCTTGCAGAGCGTTGGTCAGCTCCGACTGAGGCAGAAGAGACGTTTGGTGCGGCCACGAGAGACCCTTTTTGGGGGTGGGCATACCGTTGTTTTGTTGGGAGCCCGTGGAAGCTTGGGCGTCGCCATTCCTATATATAGATCTTCCAACTATGTAGAATGTCTGCCTGCTGCATCTATAAAAACCAGCCGTTAGGCAGATACGTTGCATAGTTGGAAGATCCAGGTTGGCTCTCACCCCTTCTCCAATGGAGATTTGTTTGGTAAACACGTGTGACAGCTGGCCGTGTCTTAAAAGGCAAAGAAACGTTGGGTAATATTGGGTAGTATTGGGTAGTTGGGGCAACAAATGATTCATCAACGGTGTCAAATGCAGGGTCTAGACATGTGAGAATTGCAGATTGATGATTGATTGGAGATACTGATGATTGGGATCATCAGGTGCCTGATGAAAGTCTTCCCTTCATCATGCGAAAGGACACTTGGAAAGCCATGCAGCAAGAGTTTCAGACACTTCATCGACACAACACTATCCAAACCCACCCTAGAACTGCAGCAACGGCTGGCTACAGTTACCCAGTTGTCCAAACACTCCAAGGTTTCGCATCTTCTTTAAGTCACTGAAGCTCTTGAAACCTCTAAAAACCATCTATATAATTACCAACGTTCGCGGCCGCCTGCCAGGACCCACCAATTCCATCCCAACGCTGTCCCAGCCACGTGGGCGCTCATCAGGTCCGCTGCCCGCTCGCGCACGGCCGGTGCCGGGCTCTGCGAGAGCTGCGCGCTCAGGGCCGTGCTACACTCGCCTCGGAGCCGCCAACGCTTATGCCCAGGGGGTCGAGGCGCTGACGCTTGGTGAATGGTCGACATGTTGTGACTAGTCATCACAGCCTCCAGGTATGAGCTCGTCCATGCTCTTATATACCCTAGGGCTCCAGTCGTACCTCCTCAGGTTCGGTATGACTGGAGCCTCCTGGCACCCGGGCCCCGGTCGTCCCACCGAAACGAGACGGTTCGGTACGACTGGAGCCCAAACGGGATATATATAATATGTATATATATAACTGTTTATAACTATAGATTCTTCACGGCTGTGGATTACCCAACTGTCACGCCATGTGGGTCATGGCTCACTTTCGCACCACATCCTAGAACACCCCAGCATGGCCATTGCCCTGGCAACCCCCCCCGGTTCATTCGACCCCAGAGTCAGGGGGACCGAGAGTCAGGGTCAATCTAGTTGAATATGCCGCATGCAGGATCACTCGTGTCTGGAATAGATAGAGTTCTTCTTTCATGAATCCTAAATGATGCGTCTTTTTCATGGATGTGTCTTCTTTGAAGTATGGTGTCTATAGAGATCTTGCAACATGGAAGTGATGAAAGATGAACACAACTCCAAAATCATGAGTCCAACATCAAATGCAGCTCTTTCTAGAATACACTTCAGGCTAAGCTAGCAGCTAGCCAGGTTCCATTCATTTCCCAGCAGATTTCAGAGGGCAAAAGCCATTCCCAGCACAAAAGAGCAGACGTTTCTCGATGGTTCCATCCATTTCTCCGCTGAGTTGCTGTGGAAGGAGACATCGGAGAGGAACAGATTCAACGCTACAATGTTTCCAGGAGATAATCCTTGGCATATCCAGGGCGCAAGTCTTGTTCGGAGAGGGAAAGAAAGGGTTGCAACAAAAAGAGCGACACACATGACGCGTTTCTTCACTTTCCAAATTGGCTCATCAAATGAGGTTTTGTCACTGGTCTGTCAGTCTGAACACCTTTCTCGAGGCGAAGCAAAGCAAGGCTGTGTCATAGTTCTTTCTTTATGCGCATTCCGTCTAAGAGCGGCCAAAAGCAGGTACTGAGTGCCCTTCAAGGCTGGGAACCGAAAGAAACAGAACACCTTTTCAGCTCACTCAACTCGCCTGCGCTTGAAGCCTAGCTTGTAAGGCCACGTCTCCAGCTTTCCCTTCGGCGGTCAATCGCAGTGCTAACAGCTGGGCGCTGGCCAAAGCGTGCTCGTTGGCTCCTGGAGTGGTGGAGTGCGGGGGGTGTCACCCGCCAGGCACGTCAGACCGTGCTTCTTGTGGTGTTGGATCATATGATCATCCGCAGGGATACCGTTTTCGGTACCGAAGCTGGCCTCACGTTCGGTACGACTGGACCCTGTTCGGTACCTTGGTACCTATACCTACATAACAGTGTTGAACAGAATCACTGGTACCGTCAGAGGGTGCTATAGTGGATCCCTAGGGCCATCTTGATGGATCGGGTGGATTTCAGCAAGGGATTTCTGCAAAGAAAAAAGGGAAAATTCATGGAATTCTAGACTTAGAGAGATGCGAATTCCCTGAATGTTGCGTCAAGGCAGAACGGAGCAGGGCCTCTACAGATCTGTTGTTCCTCTCCAAGCTTATCGATCTAGACGATTCACATTGAACAACATGTCTTGGAACTGGAACCTTCACAACCACACCCAACAAAGGCAAGAAGGTGGAAGCATCATTCATGAAGCATCAGCAAATATCAGAGCTGTCCCAAGAAGAGCCCCAACTGCTGCACTGCTCTGAATTTTCTTCGCCACTTCCTTTCCAGCACACACTCCCCTTCTGGTCTGTGTCCCTCTGCAACTTAGGTCCGCTCCTGCCAGGCGAATTGCTTGAAGCAACTCTTCTGCCAGCTTCCCCGCTGGCTTCTTCTCCTCTTCCTCGACCGCCACCTCTCCAACCGCCCCCCCGTTCGACCGAGGACCGCCAATGCCGCCATACCACAGTGGCACCAAGAGGCCATTGGTTGACCTATCCCAGACACGACCTGTCTGGGACTGGGACTGCCATAGGACTGCCGCCCCAGAAAGACCCCCCAGTCAACCACCCCTGGCCGTTTCTCGGCAGTCCGACATGGCAGTCCCAGACGAGTCGTGTCGTGTCTGGGTATACCTACTAACATCCACCGAACAGGGATCCAGGCGGTGTTGCCATGATGGTGCCATGCGGGTGCCCCTGACCCATGTCGATCTGCATGACCTGCCGACACATCAGGGCAGGTCTGCTGAAGAGGAGACATGGTGCCAACACGTTGTCCAACATCTTTCAAGCGACTATAGTCTGGTTGGTGTTAGGGTCCAATCATCCCCAAGTAAGGGTTGAACATAAAATATCCGAGACCATCACCTAGTTAGTGTTGGCCAACCTTGTCGTTCCGGAGGCCACCCTCCACCCTTAGTGACAGGGCTCCGGAGGCGTCTTCGGGGTTCTGCCGAGCGAAAAAGACTCACCCGCCCCTGGTGTTCTGAAGTATTGCAAGACACTTTTGGAAAGCCAAAACACCACACAAAAAGGGATCAGACGTGACACCGGAACACAGGATACGTACTGCACCAACTCCTCAAGTTCTTCTTGCGGGTGGTGGCGATCCAATTTTCGTGGTCACCACATGCAGTGCATGAACAGCTCACTTACAGCGTCCACCTGACCAGTGCTCGGCATGGCTGTGCCATGATCCATGCCAGCGCCCCAGGTCATTCGCGCCATTAAGGGTCGTGCGGAGTAGAGATACCTCAGGGCATAGCATTGGACCAAAGCCCGATGGGAACCAAGAACTGGCCACGTGCAAATCACGAAGTCACAGAATGTCTATAAATACTGTGGGTATAGGTGGTGCAACTATACTAAAGGGTCCTGAAGTGTTAGGACTTGAAACCTTTTGGAACCTTTTTCCATTGTGGGACCATGGAACGAACCAACAAAACCATGCAAAACCTCGAACGCTTCGTGATGCCAATCACTGGAGCTTTGGAACGCTTTGGAACGCTTCCGGACCCTCCTCGAAGCGAAAAAGCCGAAAAACGAAGGCGAAAGCTGACCCTGTCATAGGTCCAATTCACTTTCGCCTTTTTGAAGGCCATCACTACTATAGGTTGGAGGCCATAGCTGGGGTGGAGTTGCTACTCAGTCGCCTAACAGGGCCCCAGCCTTTTCGTCGGAAGGAGGTCTCAAAGAAACATCGTTGCACGAGACTTCCTGAACTAAGTCATTTAGCACGTTTTCAGGCCACGGTCGGCACATGGCCCCCCCGACGAAGGACCCACCAATATGACCATATGTCACCCATCGAGGCCCGCCCCGTGTGGTCAGCGCGCACGGTCACGGTCGGTCAAGTGGCGTGTTGGTGGAGGGGGAGAGGTTGCTGGGGATCTGCGGCGGCCAGCAATGAAGCCAAATCTTCGCCAGCTCCGGCCACAGGAGCTTCACTCCTAAGCAGAAGTGCTGCACAGGTCGCGAGTGTGGGGGGAGGTGGATGGATGGATGGTGGGGAACGTTCGGGATGGGTGTGAGGGAAGCAAAGCAAATAAATGGTGAAACACCCAGTGGAGAGCTCCCTTTTGCGGCCATGTTGGATGCTTTCAATGCTTTCGATCTCGGGAGGAAGGGCGTTCAATCGAGCCGAGAAAGTCCCCCAAAGAGCAAAGATGATTAAATTCGGGCCCTCAAGGCACTTGATGCAGCTTCTTGGCACCCAACACCTGAAGCGCCTTGTTCCAGCCTCACTGCTTAAGAAACGAACCATCCGTTGAATGGTATGCTACCGGTACGTCGTGTTGATTCCTTAAACTTGACCAATTCCGACCGGCTTCATCTTCCGTGGAGAATACCACTCCGATACACACGTCAGGACCATCCAACACAGAATGCAGCTCGACGCTACGACTTCTCACACCGAATGCAGCAGGGTGGGTGCCCGGTGAATGCATCCCATCCGCTCCCATCGGTCGGCCAACCGTTGCACCGCGTCCCGAGACAGTCCAAGCATCCCGCGGAACGCGCTGCCGATACTGGCGGAGGGGATGCCGACGAGGACACCTCTGCTTTCTCCTGGAAGGCTGCAGGAAGTCGACTTAGGAAACCCACACGAAGATTCCATACATCCGAAAACCACACATATAGTTCCCAAGTGGAATCATCATCTGAATCTGTTTGCTGGCCGGCGAAAAAGAACAAGCAACTGCTTCTGAAAAAGAAACATGCGTATACAACTTACAACCACAGGTGGCACATTGTTCATGCCAGTGGGGTCTGTCACTACATCAAAGGACACACCAACGAGATCCAAAGAGAATGTCCACCAAGTGATTGAATATGATCCGCAAAGAGCAAAAAAGAATTGTTTGCAACCTGCTGGCAGTCAAATCAACCATAGGCTAGGTCTTTCAATCCAATTTTCCACGTGTCATCTGTGGTTTTTCATGGATCTGTTTCACCGACCGCGGGTTAACCGCTCCTTTCCGGCCTCCAGCTCGGCGGCTGCCTGACGCAAGCGTTGGAGACCTTCCAAGTCGGCATTGCTCAAGGAGGCGCCTTTGGAGGTGAGCTTCAGAACCTGAGAGGCGTGGAATTGGAGGAGCTGTGAGTGCCAGGTTGGACATGAGACCAGAAGATGAGGAGAAGGAGAAAGGGATGAAACATCAACTCAGTGACCCAGGTCAGCAGTGAGGAGGTTGTCTTCGAAAGTTCCCAATGACTGAAGAACGACTCGAATTGTGGCGCTGGATGGGCTGTTACAGCGTTGATTGGTGGAAGTTCAGCTGTCAACAAGAATAACTTCCATGAACGTGCTGTTTCTTGGTGTCAGGCGCTGATGAATTCCTTTGAGATTTTACTCCGTCAGGGCATTCTTCAGTAGATGTTGCTTTTTCGAAACCTGCTTCATGGTGAATCTTGGCAGAAGGTTGCTTTCTTTTGGTACCATTGTTTCGCAAAACTGCACACAAAAAGATGATATCAGAACCAAACATCACCATTTTTGTCTATATAACATACATGTACCATCACGTACTGTTTCTTTACGGAAGACATCTACGAGACGAACCTCTTCACACCACCTGGACCATCGATGCTACGTACCGTTCCGCCGCTGGGCGGAACGGTGGGGATGGGTTGTTGGCGTTCCGAAGCCGACCTGGGTTTTCAAGGTTTTCCTAGTAAAAAAAACGGGTTTGGGCATGTGAAAACCTCTAGTTTTCATGGTTTTGAGGGCCCTACAAGGCAGGTCCACTTTGATTTTTCAAGTCTTGGAAGGACATACACATCCCATGCAGCAGCATATAGTGTTCACTAGCGTACTCACCAATGAAGTTGGTTCTTGATCTGACTTCCTAGTCCTAGTGGAACAACTTGCTGGAAAAAAAAACACGACCCCATGTACAATGCGTGTACAATCCACCTGCTAGCTTTTAATGCCAACAATAATATATATATATATAAAGAGAACATAAGTCCAACGCCGCAAGAAAGACTTGCCAGGACACGATATTGGTATTGCCACACCTCAGATCCATCAAGAAATGGCTGCATCGGCACCCAAAGGCCGAAACAGGTTGACGGTTGACCTCCTTAGCGTCGTCCATTCAGTTCGGTCTCTACCATACACTGGGGTGCCGAAAGTTGCGCTTCACTTCTAAAACGGGACAAACCCTTTTTTTAGAGGAAGAAGCGTAAACTTTAGGGTTTTTTGAAGTGTAGGGGTCGTCCATTCAGTTCATGTTGGTCTCTACCATTCTCTATACCCATGAATCCATGAAGCAAAACACTGATCCTTTCGGATCGTCTCTGCATGGCGGTATGCACGTGGGAAAGTACAACCCCTGCGACCAAACGGACCACATGGACCACCCAAAACCGCTGGGTTGCTGGGTTGGGAGTTCTCAGAGTCCATCTTAGTCTACGGAAGAGGCGGTCTTCATGGTAAAAAAGGTAGCGATGCCCTTGTTACTAATAGCTTCTTGCTACTAGTAGTAATGCCCTTGTTGCTAGGTTACAAAGAAAGCCAGCTTGTATGATCTTGTATGTGTGTTCGAAGGAAGCTCTCCATAGAGATCTATAGAGATCGGCCTCAGAAATGAAGGGCAAAGTGCAACCCACTCTACAAAGCCTGATGATCTACACCCCACTCTCCAAAGCTGCATCCACAAGGAGTGCCACATGCAGTTGGCCACAAGTTACTAGTCCCAATCTTGCAAATGCTTTCTTGCTTTGGGGTCTATCGGCCGTTTTCGCGGGTGGAAACACGCCTCCACTCTCCACGCTGCTTTTTCGTTTAAAGTCCCAGGCGCCAGTGAGCCCACATGAGTGCTGAAAGATGGCTTGTGATCCTCAAATTGCACGCTTTCAAGGCGTCAAATACCAAGCTTCATGCGATGATATAGGAGAACAAGGAAAAAGGCTCCGGAGGTGATTGCAAAACAAATGCAGCACTCCCAGAAATGATCAAGAAAGTATACACTGCATGGCTTTGCCAGGTGGTGCCATCCACTTCCATGATGGTGTTCAAGGGAGTGTAACAGTGTAACCATCTGGTTGTCTGGAAGTTGCTTGCTCTTCTTGCATTTCAGCCATTTCTTTTTGGAGCTCTGACATTTCCATTGCGCACTCGGTGATCGGTCGAGCCTTGCGCACTCGAGAGGACTCGAGAGGACTCTCGTTGGGTGACATGCTCAGAAAACAGGCAAAAGAGCCACCATGGAGGCTGAACAAACCAACGGACTGGTTGCATCTCAAATGACAAATGTTCAATTTCTTTGATTCCCCTGCAAAACAGTAGTTATACATAGTTATACATAATTCAGACATATCGTTCCATCTGTTCAGCATCGGATACTCATATAATTCAGAAACAACTGCTCATGCAACAACAACCAAATCAGAACCGTATCCAAACAGGTGTTTATCTTCTGAAACACTTTGGCCCAATGATTTTCCCCTTTGGTCGATGCCCGGTACCCGTGATTTATGACGGGGGGGGGTCTCCCCTCAATCAACTGTCGCCTCGGGCTGGGCTTGGCATCTGAGACTCTGCACTTGCTTTGCATCCGCCGAGAGCATCACATCAACCAGGGCTTCTTCTCCAGAATAGGCCGCCAAATTCAGCAGGCCTTGGGTCAGCACGGTGTCTCGCTTTCGAACACATCGGCACCAGGCGTGGCAAATTCCGATCTTGGATCTCCAGTATGTCTTCTTTCCCTGAGTCATCAGTCTATCTTCTATGTCATCTATCGTCTATCAGTCTATCAGTCTATCATCTATGTCATCTATGTCCATTAATTCATCAGTCTATACTATGTCATCTATCATCTTCTCACATCATTTAGGATGGACGAGAATATATTCCACCGACCCTCCGTTCCCGGTAAAGTCCAGCTATAGAAATCTGGCACCATAGCAAAACGGTCTCCCAAACACGGGACATACGCGTGGAGAAAGGATGGTTCTCGGGGTTCTATAGAGAAAACATCTGTCTCAAACATTCATCAACCTGATGTGTAAGAACTCAACCTCACTCAACTCCTTTCCACTAGTAGGCCAGAGTAGGCCAAGACATGTGTTTCCAATTACTGAGTTGGGAACATCTCCAAATCCGACCAATGAGTGTCTAGTGAAGGTGCACGAACGCAGTGTTTGCAGTGTCTTTGCAGCAATCAAAAGATCCATCACACATCACCAAATGCAAAGTAAATCACTCCTTTTTGAGGTTCCAAGTTTCGCAATGGACTACACCTAGCTAGCATGCACCCCCAGCTTGACATGAAATTTGAAAAACCCTGAATGTTTACATCTGGGATCTGCATAAAGCCATGAACTCCGCTGCCAAAAGACTGAATCCACGAGAATCGCTCACCAGGGGGTCTGCCTTCCGTTCGAGGGCCAGGGCAACCGCCTGGAAGCAGTGGAAGCTTCAGACGAAACGAAAAGCACGGTAGGTGGAAGATCAGTTTTTGCATCAAGTTGCCTTCTTTTTCAGAGTTCATGTGTGTACCGATCAACTCAAAAAGAAGGGGGTTGGCTTTTGTGTTTCCCATAGCATATGACTTAGACAGTTGGGAAGCTATGAATCTCGGAGCTCTCCTCCAGCTCAGGAGGTCTGCGGTTCCACCAGTGCAACTCGCGACATGGTCTCGGAGCCGCCAGGACCGCCGGGTTTGGCATCCTCAAAGAACCGTTGTCTCCCCGGAACTCACATGGAAGTGGCAAATGGTCCACTGGAAGACCAGGGAAGCCTCTGACAGATCAAGGTTGCCATTCACTTCCGTTCCGAGGGAGGGGATTCACCATCAGCCTCATTGCTGCTTCCCACCTCATCTAATAGCTACAAATCTGAGAAGCGGTCATCGAAAGACCCTATAGAATGCTGGTGAACAAAAGGCAACTAATCACGGTTGATCCACAAATATCGTTAACCACAACGCCGACAGGTGGCCAAACCACAACGCCGACAGCAAGGAACAAGGAAAAACAAAGACCCCATGACCCCAGCAAAGGAGAACGTCAACCAGTCTCTCCTATGAAAATTTGGGTGCTTGCGCCAGAAGCTTTGGGAACAAAATGGACATTCCTCGTTAATGTGGGTCTTGTCGCAACCCGCCTCTTTGTGGGCTTGGCAGTTTCACCTCTTCGATCCTCTTCGTAACATGGGCTCCCCACGCACAGGATCATATTATCTTCCACAAGTCGTGCAGCATGGGAGTCTTTAAACATGTTAGACACATTCCCATGTCTTCATTCACATCAGTTCAACTCTCATCAGCCGTCTTCCTTTGGAGGCCATCGCCTCCTTTGGGCCGTGGATCACGTCCCTCCCCCCGCACGCGCCTCATGATGACTGCTCTGCTCCGCGGCCGCGGCCGCCAACGCCTTCGATTGGTCCGTGCGGCCAAATCACTGGCATCGTCTGATCGAGTTTTCGGCCCCAGAACAAGGGGGCAAGGTCCAAACAGGTCCAAACCCATCCAAACCCGCCATCTTCCAAACAAAAAACGAAGACACATCGCTTTGAAGGTGCTTTCGAGACGAAGGAGTAGTAAGGAGTAGATCCATAGGAGTCGAAGGTTTCAACTAACACGTTTCAATCCCGATCGAAGAACCGCTTTCCTGACCTTTGAAGCCATGGCCACCTCCCTTTCATCCCTCCCCATCCACTCGACTTCATGGGCCTTCACTTCACCACCGCCCCCCCTGAACCCCCCTGGACCCACGGTCCACATGGTCCACGCTTCTGCGACTCGAGCCACGCTGTAAATCTGCGGTTTGATCGCGATCCGCAGCGTGGTCGGCATCAAGTCCAAGGCGGTCTGACCGCGGTGGTTGGGTGCCATCACCGTGCTGGGCGGCAAGGTCTTGAGCAAGCCCTGGAAGAAAGCCTCGGCCGGCATGAACAAACACGATCACCATCTGCTGGGTGAGCCAGGTGTGGCTTTTCTAAGAAGGTTCATGAAACGAAGAAGTGCTGAGCGTTCAAGGGTTGAGAGAGCTTCTTCCACCAACTTCTCCCAACTTAACCCTGCACAGAAGCCCTACAACTTCCCAACACATCCCTTCACCTTCTCTCCTTATCTCTCCTATCTTCCTTTTTTTGTTTCGCACACACCGACCTAAACCCGCGCCCCGCATCGGCATCAAACCCCCGCGTCCACACCGTCAGCACAAGCCCGGCGCCTCGCAGAGGCCGCCCACGGCGGCGGCCAGGTGCGCCACGGTGGACCCGGGCGCCAAGCCGCAATGGCTGCAGCCCTCGTCCGAGAGCGGTGCTCCCAGGGCCGCCTCGTCGCCTAGCTCAGAGTTGATGAAAACAAGTTCACCCAGTCCGCAGCTTTCACATCCACTCAAACACGCAAACTTAATAGTTGTATTGCCCTCATTCAATCAAATAATATATATCAAACATTACTTTGTGGGGGTGACTGTGAAGAACCACATTGGCCATCTTGACAGTAAGAGACCTCAAGTATCCTCAAGCACCCATTGCTTCAGCTTGGAGTCATTGAGCAAGAAAACCGTGACCAGCGAAGAGAAAATACCCCGACAATCATGGAAGTGGATGGCACCACTTCTTGGTATTCGGAACATAGTCTTCCATTCAGGGGGGCAGGACGTCCAATTCCATGAGGACGTTGGAGGGAGAGTATCAAAAGCTCGCAGGAAAGACCTGCGAGGACCGTCCTCGAGAACGAAGGGGAACGAAGTGGTTCTTCTGTTCGATATTGTTCGATAAAAAGAAGTGGATGATGGCCATCCTTAAATCTCTTCACCCATATATTACTATATAACTTACAATGCATGCTACACATAGCTCATATCTCCAAACTATGCAATCATATGACCCAAGAATTTCAGGTACCCAAGCTCGACTACTTAAGCTCGTCAGCCTATCCAAGAGTGACCAGGACTTGGCCCATCCTTCAAAGCATCCATGGGCACTACGTCTAGGGATCCAGTCGTACCTTCTCAGGTTTTGTACGACTGGACCCTCCTGGCATACATAAAAGTGTCGAACACGTCACCGTACCTGAGAAGGTATGACTGCATCCCTAGGGTACCGTTCTTCGTCCCAACATCGCCTACCCTGTACGCTCTAAGTGGCAGTGTGACAACAGCAGGCAGGCCTCAGCTGAAACCATGTGTATCCATAGCCACGTCGAAATCAGCCGCAGTTGAATGCATGAAACAGAGAGTTGCTCGATGCCATAAGTGTGACAACATGAATGAGCCATAACTTGGTGCTCTATTCTACGATTCTATATTATAGACTCCGTGTTTAAGGGTAATATACGATAAAACATGATTGAACATGATTAAACAGGTATACCCATATCCAGTGACTATATAAAACTCTCCTAACCACCCGCTTGCACTTGACTACACCATCTAGGCTGGGGTCGGCAAAAAAAACAAAATCCAAAGAGAGGAAAATATCTGTGGAAACTCAACCACCCTGCGAAGTGATGTCTTCTGGAACGTACCGCTATGACTGACATCATGCGAGGTCACCAAATTTGCTACTGACGATTCCCTGACAGCAAGTGAGTACCTTGAAACGGAAAGATGCAGTGCGACCGACTGGTGACAAATTGTGACATATCCCAAACGTTCCATGTATGACATATTTATCTACCTAATGACATTGGAGTGGTTGAAACAGGGTCAATGTAGTTGAATATCTGCCGGTCCCATGGACTGTCAGACGGGTGTCCAAAACGGCTCGTCCGTTCAGCGCGGCTCGTCCGTTCAAGACATCGCTCCGTCTGTGTCTTTTCTTCGGTAAGGATCCATTGAGTGCTGCCGGGAGATGAGCGCCACTGCCACCGGTGACAAGCCCTGCACGGTGGCATCCGGCGAGCACGACTTGGATAACCTGGGCGAAGAGGCGGAGTCCAGCTGCGCTTCGCGACGCGAAAGCGAAGCCCCAGCTAGGGATCCGTTGTCGTACCTTCTCCTCAGGGTCGGAGGCGACTGGAGGTTGTGGCGCCTACATCACAGTGTCGAACACATCACTCCAATCACCGTACCTCAGAAGGTTACTTGGTCCCTAAGGTAAAGAAGGATCCAAAACACAAAGTGCTTGGGAATGGTCCAGGATGTGTGGACAGGCCAGTGGAGCTCACAAGAGGTGCAGCATGGTGCGACAAGGGTGTTCATTCTCCACTTTCTCATGGACACATGCTCTTGAATGTCATGAAGGCAGAGCGGCAGAGCGGCAGGTGCAGCTGGTGAAATCACTATGTTGACTGGCAGTGAACTTGACTATGCCATCATCATCCAGAGACCTTGCACCCTATGCCATCACCAAGGAAATGCCAACCTCCTCACTGGTCGGGTCGGTTGGCTTGTTCTCCACCCAGGCTTGGGACGGTTGATAAAATGGTTGATATGTTTTGAAAGGGGATATGTTTATATGTTTTTGAGTGTTGATATGTTGGTATGTAGAATTGTTGTTGAACAATTGTTGATATGTATTGAGTCTTCAAAGCCTTGGACGTGCTTTTGGAAGAGTCGTGGCAGTCGTCGCCGACTTTGAGGATTGTTGTTTTGAGGGTTTGGTTTGAGGTGAACCATCTCCCCGACTTTGCAGGGTTTGAGGTTGATTAGGAATTGGTGGGTTGATCCGGGTTGATCTTTCAGCTGTCTTCACGCCACTGGTGAAATGCTCTCCTCCCAGCTCGGCCAGCTCGGCCGCTCAGACCACGGGTTGGCCCCCCAGTGATCGGGCGCTGGGGTGCTTTAGGCGATCCACGGTGCCGGGAGGCCACCCAGATCGGACCTGGTGACCTACCGAAAACCCCCCCCCTGTCATCCGAAAGTAGGTCGATCCCCACGAAAATCGAGAAAGTGTTGGAAACCCGTGATCAACGGTCCTCTGGATGGGGATCACTATACTTGGATCAGAGCAACATAGAGCTGTAGATATAGATGAGATCTCTAACCGGCTGCCAAATGAACCAAACCAAACTCTGCGAAAGATGTCCAAAGAACAGTCATGAACGGATCAAATCAATCTTAAACTCCTCAATTCAGCATGTTGAACCAAACATTCTGACTAGACTTCAAACACCCTAATCCAAGGAGAAATTAGCAACCCATCTGAATCAAAACCAACAAGACCACATCGGAAAAGCAAAAAACAAAACAAACCAAATCAAACCAACATGCCAAAATCATTCCAAAACAACAGCATTCAATACGGCTGCTCAAAATTGCTTAAACAAATAAATAAACCAAATTATTGGATGAATCAATGGATGAATCATCTCACACACCTGAAAAGGACCAACGAATAAACTTCACATAAACATGGAAAAACAAAACTATGAACAACTCCAGCCACATCCAGCAGAGAAATCCCTCGCCGAGCCACAGGTAGTTGGCCACGTCCGTGGACCCCCCTGCCGCCGCGAAGTGCAGGGCCCGACTGCTGCAGGAGCCGTTCTCGATCAGAAGCTCCACGATGCGCAGGTGGTTGTGCCTCTCCGCTGGTTGGTCGGACGGCCGGACGAAGACAGTCCGACGAAGACAAACGGTGGGACTGGGGCGACTGGCGCAGCATGCCGTACTTTGCACAGCATGTAGCCATGCACACCATGTAGTGGCCACTTAGGCATAGCAAAGGCATAGCAAACGCCTGGCGTGGGGGCTGGGGCCCCAAGTAGCCCCGGGGCATGTCACAGACACCTGCAGGCACCTGACAAGGATCAGCAAGCAGATGCAGCGTGCATTAATGCATCGACATCGACGCTGATCACCAGGTCACTCAAGTCTTTCACCCCCCCTTCCACCAAAACCGACATTTGCTGGTGCAAACTTAAGCCATGAGCAAAAACCGCACGACAAGCTGCATCGCTGCAGGACGGTAGTAATTAACCAGTAAACTCAGGTGCCACTTCAGGCTATTTCTACCATTCTACCTGAGTTTTGACTGTTCAGAAGCCATACCCAGAGTGGAGGTAGAATTTCATTGCAGCTAATGAGCTAATGCAGCCGGCAAAATCACAAGGGAGTTGTGCAAACCTCCGAGTCCTTCGCTCCAAACCTGGAGATTTTCCGCGAATTCGGAGCTGTGCATGCTGCGGGTTCGGGGGGTGCCCAGTGGGGTTTTCATGCAGGAGGTGACTCCGGCGGACCCCTCCATTCACTATGTTGGGTGGCCAAGTGGGCCATATGTTGGCCTACACAAGATCCGAATGCGCCTGAAAGGTGAGCGGAAATTGGCTTCAGAGCCAAAGCCCGGTGCCCAACAGGCTTTCCTGATTTCCGGGTAACGGGGGTCTGAAGAGAGCCTTGACACATTGAGGCGCTCTGAAGACGGGTGGGAAAATTCACTGACCTGCGTCCTGCGATGCAAACACTCCATGGGACTGCCACTGGGACTGCCATAGATGCCGATCAATGGACCCCCTGGCACCACCCCCCGATCAATGCTCGGCAGTATATGGCAGTCCCAGAATGGGAATAGTGCCGGGCGCCAGTGCTTTGGCAGGTCATGCCATGTCACTCCCATGCCATGCACCGAAGCACTTCGGTGCATCGCTGCAGGCTCTTGCGGAGTGTCCACATCGCCTTTGGGGCGGGGAGCGCGAGTGAAGCCCTGCTAGCATCCCCATCCTTGAAGTGCATGCTGCATTGCGAAAAAAACATGGGGCAATCCAGCTTGGAGCGAAGCAATCAGCTTGCATGTGAAACGTCTCCTCCAACGAGCTCACCAGCGGTCATTCAAGGTTTGCCAAAGACCTACCTGGTACCCCTGAAGAGTGATAATTATCACTCCGTTTTGTAATTATCAATCTTTTGGACACTGGTGTGACAAAAAGCACTCCGGAGTGAGAATAGTTGCTCCAGAATGGTTTTTGTTGCTCCGCAACATATCTTGAACGCAAAGCGAACGTTGATTGAACGCAAAGTGAACGCACTGCGAACGCAATCTGAACGCAATTGCGGTTGGACTGATTTTTTCCACTCCGGAGTGCTTTATGTCACACCACTATCCAAAAGATTGACAGTTACACAACGGAGTGATAATTATCACTCTGCAGGGGTACCAGGTACGTATGCATGGCTCTCTGATTGCACACTCCTTGCATGCAGGTTTTGTGCCCAAAACCGGTCCAATGGACAGGCTAAGCCTCTACGTATCATTAAGCTGATATAATATTCGAAGAACATGCTGCTCTCTTCCGGAAAGAACACGGTTCTTGCCGCCCTGCTGGGCTCTTTGCCACGCGTCCCGTGACGTTCCGGTGACATGCTGGGTTCTTGGCTCGGACCTTAGGGCAAAACATTGCCTTGCTGACACACTGTGTCCTGGTTGATGAGCACCTGCACAACGACTGCCTGGCTCTGGCATTCGAGGTGCCTGATGGCGGGCTTCTGCCAGTGTGCAGTGCCTTGCCACGCAGGTAACAAACGCTTCGTCTCGCCACATTCAGCCAGCTGCCTTGGCACTTGCATTTGTGCAGCATTAACCAGCGCCCATGCTGCCCTTCTGGAAGGCAACGGGGAAGTCGCAGTCACGACGCCAAAGCAAAGGGACTTGATCAACAATATCAACAAACATTTAAAACCCGAAGCTCAAGATGCTCAAGGCACAGGACCTTGGTGTCGCCTGTCAAATGGCCAGCTTTGCTGCCCAGCACGCCAGGGCAGCCCAGCAAGAAATGATGGGCGATCTTTCAACAGGAAACAAACGTTGAAGTCTGGAAATCTGATCCAAAAATGGATCGGAAAAAACACTGTGAACGTTCCAGTTCTTTTCGAAATTCTTTTGGGTGCTTTCAATGTCTGAAACCTTAGTTTCCCTTCCACCCCGGCGCCTAGCGGCCGCCTCCACCGGCAAGATGGGCGGCTGTCCACCGGGCACGTGGGGCGACGCGCCGCGCACGTAGAGGAACTGAGCCGCTGGGAGGTGGCCGATCGCCGCCGCTAAGAGCCTAGGAGCAAAAGAGGTGGACTTTCTGAAGATTGATGAGTCAATTGAGTGTGTGGACTAGTGTGTGTATATGCTATTGACCATGAATATACTATGAGTCAATGAATATATGAGTCAATGAATATATGTACCAGCAGTCACAAGACGGGGTGCTATCGATGGAGGTTTGGGGTGCCCAGCTACTCCACTCACTGGATGGGACTAAATGCCACTCCTTTGTGACTCCTGGTAATGCTTATTGACCAGGTGAGAACAACCCAGCTCCTGGGCCGTCCCCTCCGTTTCGTTGGGGTGGGACAGGGGTGGGTGGTCTAGGGGGGTCTAATCACCGAACCTGAGGATATGGGGACAAGAGCCCTAGGTATGATGAGTCAATCCCTAGGGGTCGACATACCTTCTCAGGTTCGAATGCGACTGGACCTGACAATTGGCACCGACGCAACGGTATGTGGATCCCTAGTGTAATGCTATCTGCCAGGTGAGGAGCATCGGTTGAAGCCCCTACTTACATGATATAGATATGAAGCGAATGAGTGCGGGATGGACATTCATTCGCCCCCAAAGCAAAAAGGTCAAAGAGGGCATTCTCTGGGAAAATGGATGGTTCAGGCGTTCTGAGGAGGATTTGGAACTTGCAGCCTGGTACAGGGCTGTTTTCGCCATCATGACCCATGACTATGTGGGTCTGGTCTGGCAGAGTTCTATGTTTCTCACACCCCAAAGAAAACACCTTGACAATGGACAAACCGGACTTCCTCAGATCCTCTAAGGGCCGGTACGGGCGGGGCCTTTTCCAAACCCCACCGCTCAAGCCCGCTGAGGCGCAAGGGTGTGAGCCCGAAGGGAGCGGTATCCGGTGGAAGACCACGATCCAACAAGAGGCCCAACTCGGCAAGTCCGTGTCGGTACTCCTTCGAGCAGAACTGGAGAAAACGGCGCGAAAGCGATTTCGCGTGCGCTTTGGTGGGATGGGCAGGGCTGGAAAGCGGACTGCACAGTGGTGGACTGGGGCATGTGGATGGGGAAGCCACAGTTGGAAGAGTCATCAGGAGTTTGTTGGTCTGTTTTCAAGACTTGTTGACCTGGAAGAGCGCGCTACCAGCTTAGATTGCAATGTTACAACCCAGTTCAATGAGTTCGAATGTTTGCGTGTCTGGTTGGCACGCACAACTGGTGCGTGGGTCATTAGGCTCACCATGTCAAAAACACCAGCTTCGGGACCCCTGAAGAAAACAAGCAATCCATCTCTGAACCGAGGGAAGTTTGGGCCAGCCCATATGGGGAATCGCCATCTTCCAACCAACAAATCAATGAATGTCGTCTTTGGATAGGGACGTGTTAATGGCGGAGGAGGCATGACGCACACTTGGATTTGTGGAAGGTTTCTGGTATCGAAAAATGCTATGCAGTGCTACCAGTACAGTCTGACAAAGAACGAACTTTTCTGATTGCGTCTTTGCTGCGGCGCATTCTTCGTACTTTGGGGCAATTCGTAAGGCAATTCGTCTTTATCATCGATCATGATTGGTAGTCATGACTACTCACTCACCTGGTCACAAGTTTACATCACTTCAGCACTTCAGATTGTGGGTCGGAGCATAAACAAACAAATAGGACACGTCCTCGTTGGACAGGGCGATCTCAATGCGCCTGCGGTTCGGATTGGTAGGATGGTAAGGGGATGATATAGGATTCACCAATGGGTACATGTGTCTTTGCATGTGTGTCACAGCCCATTGAGGGCACAAGCAACAATGAGCAACCCTCATTTTCTGGTGCTCAAACAAGTTATATGCTCATTTGCTCATTGATCCCATCTTTTACTCCTCCACTTATCTTGAAACCCAAGTACTTCCACACAGCATCCACCAAAGCAATATCAACCAATTTCCGACCATCACAGCCCCATACACCGACACGATCAAACAGTGCACAACGTGGAGTTCATCCACCTTTCAACACGGAACTGACAACAACCACGACCACGACGTCCACCACCATGACCAGCACCTCCAGCTGTGCCGCTGCGCCGCCGCGCTCATCTCCGCCGCCGGAGGCGGCGGCGCCCAAGGCGCCGCGAGCGGCGGCGCGCCGGCGCGGAGGCGGCGCTGCTGGGCCCAGCGGAGGACGAAGCGGAAGATGCGCGTGGCCGCCAGCAGCTTGACCTGATGGCCAACAGCCAGTGAAAACTCTGAAAGAAGTGTTCAGTATGCAAGTTAACTGATAAAGACTCTTAATGTTTGCTTGCATAATGAGAAACTGCTTCGACATGTTGAGGATGTGGGGTCCTACCTGCTAGGTTAGGTGAGATCCGCTCTTCTGCTGGGACGGCAATGAAGTCATCTTGCTGTATTTCGAACTAGGTACTTACAGTATCTTACGGTGGTTTCAGAATAGATGCCACTGGCACCCAAAGATGTCTTAGACAGATGGGGGTCTATATCAATACTTTGCCGAAACTCGTAGTAGCGCAAGAGAACAAGGCACCGCAGGGTGATTCCGTCTATACTGTGTTGTTCCTTAATGAGGGGCCTTCTCACCAACCAATGATTAAATTGTGACATGTCGATGGATGGACATGGCAGTCATAGACCCCCAGCGCTCCTGTCCCAAATCCTCAGGTTCGGTGCTTAGACTTTCGCACCCACCCCTGTCCCATCTTCGAAACGGGGGGGGGGCCAGGAGCCCTGCAGTAGGGTGGCTCCGCACCAAGTCCACGGCGGCTAGTTGACAGTCGGACAGGATCCCTGAAACAGCATGAGCCATTCTGCAGGGAGACTTGAAGGGAGTGATCGGTTGTCCGTTTAGCAGTAGGTTTCCTCTGGGTTCACCAACTCCGCCTTGTTGTGTCACGGCAGGAGATGTTGGTGTACTTGGCATCCTCTTATTCTGGGCTAATCCTTTTTGGTGCTCCAAATCGCCGGGCCCCTGTTCCCATGACTGCACTTGTCACCTGTCATCCTCTTGCTCTCATCTCGAGCACCGAAACCGCTAAAGAACATACCTCGAATTCGGAACATCTCTAGTACGACCGTACCATGTACGTCAAGCTACAGCCTGGGGCGCCACTTGCCACGAGACCCTGGACATGGCATTGTAGAAGTTCGCGTGGTTGTAGCTTGGGCAAGATGCACCTCACAGCCATCGCCAGGAACGTCGTGGTGGACTCCCCGAACGTCTCACGAAAAGACAAAAACTGGCTCGAAACAAACCCTATAAGTAAACAGGCCAAACACGGGCAAATGACCTACATTGATCCCTGAAACCACCCCCTAACTGATCTGGCATATGGATGGCAATTTACGGAGTGTTTAGGAGTATATGATGCATTGGCATATGGATGGCATATGGATGCATCTGTTCCGGTCAGGACCGGCAGGTGGATTGGGCGGAGACTGGGCGCGCCTCAAGGGATCGACCGGTGAAGTCCTCCAGGTCAGTGCGATGATCGACCAGGATCCTGGTAGATCATCCCGAGACGAACCAAACCACCCAACTACAGGTGAATCTTGGTATATGATCTGTATGCTCTTGAGAGCTCTTGATAGGCTCTTGGTACTTTTTGGGGTAGTGGTGGCATCCGAGATCCAAACTCAGTAACTGCCCAGCAAGGACCGCCTCGCAGGAGTTCCTGCTTGCAAGTTCAGCATGGTTAAGCTACATCACTTAGGCAAACGTCACCATCTTGCCGACCTTAACATATCTTCAACACCCAAATGGCCACCACACACGTGGCCAATCACACAAACATCTCAGCTATAAAACCCGGTCTTGTTCGTCTCGCACCACCCGGTCGGCTCCAAAACCCTTCCGGGTCCGGTCCAGCCAAGGTGCGCAGCAAGAAGCTCGTCAAGAAGCTTTTGAAGTCCTGCATCGTCTCGCTGCGAAGTCACTCAAGACGAGGAGGTTTCTAGACAGATGTCGTTGGGTCCAAACGAGCGAACTTGGTTGCGAACGCATCAGCTACGCCGCTACGCATGCCGCATAAGCTAGTCCTGTCATGTTTAGTCACGTTTAGTCCATCTCATTGGGACTTTCATGCCGTCACGGAGTTGATCCCAATGCTCCATGCTCCACAGGATGGAAGATCATCCCAACAGAATTGAAGCACCTCATGGAACCGAACGCAACCACATGCACTCCAACAACTTTGCATAACCTTGCATCCACATCCGGGTGGCTTTTCCTCTCCCAGAGCTACTCAGCTACTCACCTTCCCTAACCTCAAACCCAGCTCCCCAGCTCCCCAGCTCCCCAACCCCACCGCGGCGGCACGCGCTCCGCCCAACGAGGAGCGCCCTCGCGACCGTGGACCGTCCTCGGGTTGCGCCACGCGCGCGGTGCTCAGGAGCTTCTTCTCCAGCTCATCCAGCAGACGCTCCGTCAGGCGCGGGTCGCTCACCCCCATCGCCTGAGAGGACGTCTAGAAGGTGGAATGGAGTGATCAGACGTCACGGCACGGGTCGGGTCGGGTTTCGAGGGTTTAAATGGCCAGGTTGGGAGTTTTTGTTGAGATTTGGGGAAGGGATTTGGGGAAGTGGTGTGAGGCATTCCGTGGGTGTGAAGATTCCAGCAGTTTCCAATGGTAAGTGGGGTGGCCCAAAGACGAAGATTCCTAGAAGTATGGGACTGGTGATGGTCTTCAGGTACTTTGATGGTTCTCTTCATGTTCAATGCATGAGCAAAGGATAGCAAAGGAAACAACACTGAAAGACAGGGAAAAAAGATATCTTGCAAGCTGTGGTAGCCAATTTGGTGATTTCTGGATGCGTTTGCTGAAACACTTACTGCGGATCCACCGGCCCACCGGTTGGTGAAACGACATGTTTTTGTCGTTTCGTGGAAGAAAGACATGGCCGTTTCAGGACAATGGTGCCGGTTTCAAACCTCCATGGTCTCCAATCTTCAACACGAACACGCTGAAAACTGTTGCCCAAACGGGCTCCCTTTAAAAGTGTTTGGGGTGGGTGCCAGTAGGGTCCTGTCATACCGAACATGAGGAGGTACGAAAACGGAGCCCAAACGGGTTGCCGTCTCAGCCGTCTCAGGGGGATCGAACGACTCGAGCGCCGAACGGTCGTCACGTCGCGCGATGACGTGCAGCGTGGCTTGTGCCGTGACCGTCAGCCGCGACGACTGGTTTTGTTAATTGCAGGAAATACGTTTGACAACAAAAAACACACGTGTTAAACAGCTAAAACGTGCCATTCCGTCAATCAAAAAAGGTCACATATTCTTTTCTGGAAGCAGAATGGCTTTGCACCAGGAAGATGCAGCGTTTTCCATGCCGATTGCTGGCGGGCTCTAGTCGCGGTGAGTAGCACACCTCCGACCGGCTGCCCACCATCCAATCTGACTCAGTTTGAAAACGAAACCAAGTCAAGCTTTCTCCACTTCTTCTCTTTGTCAGGAATCTAGTTCCCCCAATAAAGGATTCAAAAAAGTCGGTGAACCACTCACCAGGTAGGACGACCGGGTAGGATGCTGAAACAAACATGGAAGTGGAGAAAAAAAAGAACCTAACAGAGACGTCCCGTGCTTTCCAGGGGCGAAAGCACATCCACATCATCCACAAAAACATGATCCTTGCAGGGACCCGAAGTATTCCATGCAAAAAAAACTGATGCCGGCGCTTGTTTCGATCTGCAAGACGGACTGCATAGTCGGATGAGTTGGCTTGTAGACTGGCACCAGACCGCACGGGTTGAAGTACCTGCTGTGGGTCATTTGGTGTTGGACGTTATACCAGGTGGAATGACCCAAGGCTCCAACCACATCCTCAGAAGGTAGTAGTAGTAGTTAGACGGTTAGATCCCCCAAACCCACCCTAACCACCTTCTCAGGTGATTGGACCTCTAGAGGATTTACAGTACCCTCCCACTTCAGCCAAGTGCACCAAGGTGGGTGAGTACCCGATCTGCGCGCGGGTCCGTGCTCCACTACCACCGCCCGACACCGCGCGCATCAGCGCAGGGGGTGCGCCAGCAGCAGTGGGCGCCTGGCAGCCAGTTGACCAGCAGAACGGTTGGATAGTTCCCTAGGGCTCCTGTCCCATATCCTCAGAAGGTGGTTAGACCCGGCACCCACCCTAACGGCCTTCGAAACGGAGGTAAGTAGGAGCCCTATAGAAATGTTATGTTTGTGTATTAACATTTCATATGTCTTTGTTGATGACATTGGAAATCGGACACTCCAACTTCAAGAGGCTCAAAATCTTGAGCGGCCCCTAGCTGTTGGAAAGGCCTGGACCGGTGATGAAGCCCTTGTTTGGATGAAAGTGCCCTCAGAACCTGTACCCGCTCGGGATTCGCCATGAGAGATACGGCAAAAATAATGTATAACCTGGTCTGTATTGATTTCTGTAGGGGGCTGCGGAATTTGGTCCAAGGGACCATAGAAAAGATTGTACAAAATAACAAACTACAGGTTTGAACAGGTACAGGCTGCAAATCACACACATGGATTTGCTGTCTAGGGCTTTGTATGGAGGTGAGAGGATTTTTGTTTGGACAACAAATCATCGGATCATCCAAGTACAAACGACTGGGCTTTGAGAGCATGCATCCCGGATCCTAGGTCCTCATTGCTGGGCTGCACTTCGCTGCAAAGCCACGACGAGGGGCTTTAGGCCATGGGGACAGCTTGGTCCCGTTGTGCTTCAGACCGTGCCAGGAATATCACTTGGATCGGTGACCTCGTGAACATCCTGCACAGCTTCGGCCCAATTGAAGGTCCCCTCTAAACAGCTCCACCGCCCACCGACCGACACGCATTCGGCGCCAACTAGCGCGAGCTCTCGGCCTTGGCAGAGATCGCTCGCTGTAAGGCCGGTGGACCGGGTGGTGGCAAGCGTCTTGGGGCACTGGTGGCAGCCTGGTTCCGAGTGCGAGTTTGTGGAGTTGTGCAAAGCGATCAGCATCAAATCTCCAGCTTAGACCTGGATCTGTGGAGATTGTGGAATCCCTCGGCCTCAACTGGGAGAATCGATTTCTATCGATTTCTCCTGATCTTCTCCTTCTGCCTCGGGTTGAGCGGTCTCGTGCGATGTGTCTGAGAACGACCATGATCACTCGCTATAGCCACCATCACTCGCTATACCCCTATGGGCTTCGATGGATCCTATAAAGATCTTCGTGGGAGACCCAGCTGAGATACATCAAGAACCATGAAAAGAGGCTTAATAGGCTGAGCCGTCGGTTGTCACCCTCAATCATGCTCAATGAAGCATTTGGTTGCGGGTCAGATTCAGAGGACCCAGCTTGACCAAAGGACATGAACAGAATCCTACTTCGAATAGACTACCAGCACTACTACTAGACTACAAAACGAGCATCCTCCAACACGTGGACCAGGTAACACGTCGGCTCCCCAGCACCACCGGCCCGGACGCCCATGGTCGCCACGCCCCGGACGACGCGCCTGGCATCCGGTAATCAGCTCGTTATACAAGAAGGATGCCTCAGACCGAGCGGCGAGGGTGGAGTCTGAAGGATGGGAGCCCTGACCTCTTGGGGGGGGTTCTGCCATCTATCTACTCTGAAACCACTGCATCATCTGTGGGAGTCTCCCCTTCTCAAAGCACCGAGTTTACAAGTAAACCAAGTCAAGAGAGGTTAAGTGACCTTATAAAGGACCCTACTGGGGTACCTATGGGATAGTCTATAGGGTCATTCAACTCTGTTGGAATCAAAGGCCTCCAGAAATGAAATTCGTTCTCGGGCTGAAAAGAAAACACATGTTTCCGCTCAAAGCGCCGCCGATACGTTCCGAAAGCAGCTGTAGTCGCACCCATGGCATGAACACTCTGTCGCTCGTCGCACGGTTGCAGCCGCGTCAGCGTCTGTCCCAAACGGGGTTCCATTTGCGGATGGACACTCTAAACACCAAAGAACGGCATCCTGGGCATGAGTGTCAATGTGGGTTACTGACTTGGGGATGGTCAAGTTCCCCAAAGAACTGCAATGCTGAAAGGCACCAAAGAGCTTGGCCATTGGGATGGTCAAGTTTGCCAGGGAGCTGCAACTTGCAAAAGGCACCTTCCCCAATTCCCCAATGTGGGTTACCGAGTCTGGGGTGGTCAACTTCGCTATAATGTGCTGCAACCGCGGTGCATGCATTTTCGCCCATTCGAGTTTCGTCACTTGGGATTTCGACCGCGAAACCGGCGCAGTTCTGAGTTGACGGCGCCCAGACTCGCCTCTGTGTTGGAGCATATGACCCTGTTCGGCTGAGACTCACCACATCTGCAGTATGTCCCGCCTCCAAAGCCTTTGCGTCATCGGGCACTCTTCGGCTGTCGATCGGCTGGTCCCATCTCCCCGGGCACGTCCTGGGTTCGTGGACAGCTCGAGCTCCCAAAGGCTGTCCTTCTTTGATGTGGTGCTTTAGTTGCCAGCCTGTCAACTCTGGCGTGACTTCCAGGACCATCCTTTCACCACTTGGCTGCAACATGACACTCTTCACGTCTTAACGCTCCGAAGCCTTGACGAGTTTCAGCCAGTTTCATCTCTGGCCAATGTCTGCTTTCTTGCTAGCCTCCCGCAACTTCGTTGTGGACTTGACAAGTGTGTCTTCAAACATATCAGCTCCTCTTTTTTTGACTTTCTCGCTATCTCTGACCGGGGCCGCTAGCGAAGATATCAGCCCCTCATGCAACAACATCAACCATTAATGGACCAGTGGTCACGCGATCCTGTGAGCGACGCCGAACAAATGCTCGTCGCAAGCTGGAAGCGAGTGGTGCAAACGATGCAAACACCGCACGCTCCTCATGCGCTGCAGATTCTTCGGCTTCACTCGGCGTCACTCGGCTGCTGGACATGTCATCCGGTGTTCTGGCGCTCAAACCACCCAGTGCTCAATAAACCTGATGGCTAGGTGTGAAGAACTTGGCATGGCATCACCCAATGGCTTATGGGGCATGAACCTTCTTCTGCATGTCTTCAGTGCTTTCCATTCTCCAAGTCTAAGTGACATCAAAATAGTCAAATTGCCCGAAGCATTCTAAAGCCCAGCCTCCCTTCCGTTGGACGGACACCGCCCTGGTCTTCCCCTCTCTTTCCACCCGCCCCTCTCTTGGAGTCCAAGTGGCCAGGGACTTCAAGGGCGCTTGGCCCGGACTTCTTTGGACCTGTTTGGTCATCGCGCAGGCCCGGAGCTTCTTCAGGAGCTCATAGACGCCTCAGCCGGTGGCCCCGGTGGCCCCGTTGGAACCCCGTCCGTCCCCCGTCGCGTCCGTTCCGAACCCCAGGAGGCGGTGGGCGGTTGGGGTGCTTAGTCACTTGGGAACCGGGGCCCAAACACGTCCGCGGACACCGGGAAGGGGTAGGGTTGACGGTAGGGTTGACGGATCATTTCAGAGGTGCGAAAACGTCACCGAACGGTGTGAAGCGAAGGATGCTTGGTACTTGGGAGTGGTGAGAAGTCGCAGAAAGCTTCGGACATCAGTGCAACTCGTTGCCTTGGGGGTACAGCGTTGCAGCTCGATGTCTTTGTGACTATTGTGGGTCAACTCTGACAATCCGAGGTAATTAGTACCTACTGCATCTAACTGCTCAATCTTCAAAGCCAGCCAGTCAGCTCTGTTCCTCCTTCCATTGCGCACAGCGGCCGACACGCTCCGCATACGCGGGGAAGCTCTTCTCAATGGCCGATTGAATGCTGATTCCCGTGTGTTGCTCGATGAACCTCGTCGCTGCGGCTGTGGTTGGAAACCTGATTTAGACTCTTGATTCATCAAAAAAAGTTTGGACTCTTCATACATGGGCTTTGTTTAAATCAAGTTGCCAGGAGCCACAAAGGGGTGCCTATTGGAGGTTAGGGGTGCCCATTATCCACTCACTTAGGGACCTAGGGAGCAAATACCACCCCGACATGTGACCCCTGGTGTATGGACCTTGCTTGGATAGGCTTTCTTTCGCATCTCCACATATCTCTGGCCTCTTATCTCACACCTCTGGCCTATACGTACCGAGTACCGAAGTCCACTGACCTACCCCTCATGGGCTGGAACACCGGGAGGAACATACCCAAACACGACTAATGGGACTGCCATAGATGCCGCCCCAATGACCCCCTTTCAACCATCCCTGGCCTGATCGGCATATATGGCAGTCCCATTAGTCGTGTCTGGGATAGGAACATGGCTCAAACCCTGGCATTTGTCACATGTCACCACCCCCGCCCCAAGACCAACATGCTGTTCTGCTACTCACTGTTTCCGCTGCACGGAAACATCGAAACCAACTCTTCCCAACTGAAACCCTGGAAGTCCAAGACCATGTTAAAAATGGTTGATCTGGTTTTGTCATGTTTTGTAGTGTAAAACCCTTCGTAAAACCATGGTTCTTCGGGAAAGCCGGCTATTAAAAACAATGGTGGGCCACGACTTCTAGGGCCTGTGGTCTCAACGCATACCTTTTGAAAAAGGGCCGTTTTCTGAACGCCACTGTCACCCATCATTGGAGTGCTTTAGGGCGTCACCACCAGCTCCGACCCGAACCTGATCCAGCTCCGGACCCCTCAGTTCGCTCCCAGACACCCTGCCAGCTCATCTAAGGACATGCCCGACGCGCCCTGGACCGAGATGGGTTGCCGCTTCTTGCCTTGAAGGAAGAACTTCCTGGCACCATTCGGACGATCCGACGGGCACTGCGCGTCCATGTTTCGGACGTCGAGGACGGGCGGAGGTGAAAGACGTCCGGGTGGGCTGTGTGTCACCCCTGACAAAGAGGTGATGAACTAGTATAGTAAGCTATAGTAAGTATACGATTTAGTCCCTTTTTTGTGACTATATATGAAGTAGGATTTGGATGGATTTGGATTAACATGAAGATAGGATCGCCAAAACCCTAAGAAATCTCTGTTGTGTTTCACGGTTTTTGTAAACCACTTTTGTCTAGGTCAGAGAGTTGCTGACTTATGTACTGATGCTGACTTAAAACAACTACCTATGCATGTATATTGATGCAGCTGCCAAAATAAAATATATAAAAAGGGGCGGGATATCCATCAGCCCTCACATCATCTCACATCCTTTTGCTGCAACTCTGAGACCACTGCGATACAACGTTCAAACTCAAAGTATCGGGTCGGTGCTTCTGGTGCGGCAGTGCTGGAGAAACTTGCCACCTGCTTTGAGTGGCATTTCACATGCTTCACCAATCATTCTTCCAAAACACTCACAATCTGTAGTAGTTTGTTCATAATCTTCCTATATTCTGTGTATCCTTATAGCCTTATCCCATTCCCAGAATTAGTATGCATGCTGATGATTGGCCCGACAACCAACTATTCTTACACATTCAGAATTAGACACCGACTTATGATGTGGCGTATCCTTTGATGTTTGGCTGATTTGGGACGTCATCATCCCAAGCCAGCTGCCAAGCCCATACCGAGCCACACGTTGGGGATGTGGGGCTCTGGGAAGTAACGGCTTTGCAACTCCTCAGGCGCGCCGCTTTTGCACGTCCAGCGCAGCAAATCGACGCGCGGGAAGAAGACGCTTTCCGCACAGCTGACACTCGTGTTGTCTTTCATCCAAAAGGCGAGTTCAAGTTCATCTCTATTCATGAGGAGTCAGCAAGAGACTGGCTAGTGTCCGTCGGGTGCTTGCACACCAAAATGCGCACTCCAGCCGGACCTTCATCTGCTTCTGCCGCTGCCTGTATCCCCCCCCACTCTGCCACCCAAACACTCACTGACACCGGTCCAAACGCTCCGGCGCGCCCTCCACGTCCCACTGCACTGGAGGGTCGTTCTCGTCCGTGTCGATGACGCCAATGGCAATCATCGGCCCATGGGACAGGAGCTGCGCCAGGCGATGGACCAAGGGCTTCAGCTGTTGGCAGGGAGGACACCTTGGCGGGCGAGAGGCGCGCAGGCGAGGAGAGGCGAGAAGGTACGAGAGGATGGTGCGAAACGGAGAGAGAGAAAGAGAGAGAGAGAGAGACGGTGCGGTGTAGCCGAAGGTGCGGTGCGGAAGGCCTCAGCAATGCATGGCCAGTTTAGGGGGTTTTCAGAGAGTCCACCGGATTGTGTAGATCCCATTCCTTGCAGCTGTAACTTGGATGATGATGGTTGGGTTGCAGGCCTTTCTCTAACATAGAGAAATATAGTTGGTTTACTGTAGTGGGACGAAGCAAGATGTGAAGGGCGGTAAGGGAGATATGTTTGTTGAGATGCTGCGTTTTCTGCACCTGCTGCTCCTTGAGGTGAAAACAAAGTCCAAGACACCAGCTACTATGAGGTTCTATGTCCACCTACGAGGAGCTACACCACATTGAAACTTGCCTTGCAACCGACCAACTGCAACAAAGAAACATCAAATAACTGTCGGTTCCCTGTAGACTTCACCTCCAAAAGATCGTCGATTTACCTCCACAGAGTATGTTGATGTTACAAGGAGGATTTTCCTGAAAGGGATTTATGCTTCTTTGAAGGGCGCAAAAGCCTTAACCTTCTGATGCTGAATAGATAGTCCCCCCAGAGTGCTCCATCTTCCAGAGAAGGTACATGCAAACTACTCCAATCCAAACGGCCAAGCGTCTGCTCAATCCACAGGTTCCTTTCAACAGTCCAACCACCTGCCGGAGCTCCTTTCAGAAGCCTGCCAGTCATCCTCCGCCTCCGTCGTCCTCTCCGTCCTGTCGACCGTCTGCCATCAGTGCCAGGGCACCAAGAAGCACTGGCGACCAGAAGGACATGCTTTTGGCTGTCCAGCACCTCGGCCGTCGGTGCTTGCTGGAGGTCAGACGGGTCAGACGTGGGTCAGGTGACATACCGTCTGGACGCCGAACACGAGAAGACCCGGACAGCGGTGTTTCCTCACAAAGCTATAGTGAGTAGTGAGGAAGACTGCTTGCATCTCTGGGTTCTATTCCCAAAAGCACCCATCGGGGATTCTCTTCAAAGTTCAACATATTGAGGGTGACACCTTTATGACGGCGATGTATCTGTCATTGACAGGTCTCCCGTTTGGCCTCCAGTCGTACCGAACCGGCTTCGTTTCGGTGGGACGACCCGGGGCCCGGGTGCCAAGTCACGTCGGGTCCAGTCATACCGAAGCGCTTCGTTCGGTACGACTGACTGGAGGTGCGACGATCTGACCATCCATCACGATCCTGGACCGGCCTGTTTCGAGGGAGTCCGGTTCATCGAACAAGCCTCCAATCAGAACCTCCACCTTCCTCCCAGCCGATCCATGGGATCATCACAGCGCTGGATTCGTCCCCGAACTGACCTCAAACCCTCTTCCATCATCTTGCCAAGAGAGGTTGAGAGACCATATAGGACCTTGTAGTGGTAGAGATGCTGGAATGGGCGACCACCTTAGGGCTGTTCAACCTCTCTTGGATCCCCTGGCAACGCCTGCAGAGCCTGTTGCGACCACGGCGCCAATTCACGGAAGGAGTCGGCCGTCACGATGGTGAGGCCCTCGACCCGAGGATCTGCATCGCCTTCCGAACGGCAAAACACGCTATTTCATGCCCATTTTGTGGCGTCACCCGGGTGGGGTCAGAGATCAACAGTAGGTTCGCTGTTTGATGTTGTTTGTTACATGTTCCTATATGAGGTGCGGACAAAACTATTTTTTCATGCAATATGCCATATGCCAAACTGGGTCGTCCCCTATCGGTTGTGAAGAATTAGGCAGTTGAAATGTGATGTCATGATGGTGTCATTTGTGAAGCATCGGTTGTGAAGGGCTTGCCGGGCTTGCCATGTTGCGTTTTGATTGCTGCGCGGTTGTGTTTCCAGTTCAGGGCTTGAAACTGCGAGTACCTTGTGAAAGGCTTGTGGAAGCAAACAGCAGAGTAGCATCTCCTTTTTTGACTTGGTCACCCTTCAATTGGGACAAGGGGCACCAAAGCATGTAAATCTGCAAAGCATGGTATCGGTTAGTATCGGTTGAGCTGTCCATGAGAGCTCCCTTATTCCACGGTGTAACCACCCAACTGTTCATTAATGACACCTCATCAGCGAACTCAGTTGACAATGGTGTGATAGCTCTTGCAACATAACCCACTAAGGTTCAGAATTACTCATATTGAAAAGCACCTTGGATTCCAATTCACAGCCATCTAAAGCCAAAAACAATAACAACCAAAACAATCTTGGTGGGTATAGGGGTATCGGTGCTGGGTCGTCCCCTATCGGTTGCCATGGATTTCTTCACTTCTCTATAAGCACAAGGCGGCCTCTCACATATATTTAGTATTCCAATAATTTTGTCGGTTGCTCATATGAGTGTCTGCCAACACGTACTGTCAAGCAAAGGAGATGATTCAGCAAGGGGTTATCGCGGTGGCTCATACTGGGAATCCTTCTTCCGTGGGGCGCACATGGGGTTTCCGGACATTGTTGAAGAGATTTATCAGTTCAAACTCAAACGAACAAAAAGAGATCAATCATGTGGATGAATCTCAGAGATGTATTCGTTCCCTGCCTGGGGGTCGCACTCCGGAGCGCGTGCGCGTGCTGCGGCAGCGCCAGCAGACCCGCGCGTCGGCGGCATTTCCTGAACGCAACCGTGGACGGTGGCTTTTTTTCAAATCGTTTTGGATGTGTTTAGATGACCTTTGAGTTGGTTTTTGATTGTGTCCACCCTTCTAGTGACTAGTGTTTAGATGTACCTGTAGTGGGATGCAGTGGGTATTTGATTCTTCCACCCTTCTCCCTTTGCACCAATTGAGAGGTTCAGTGTGTCGGTGTTGCACCCCACGCGGACCTGCTTTTTGTTACCTCTTGAGGTTCTTCACCTGAAGAAGGCACTGAGAGGGGTCTCCTCGTTGTAGAAAACGACTGGAGGATGACACCCAAGACGCTCACAGCGTCTGGAGAATGCGCTATGTCTCGGTCTGACGCCATGTACCTCAAACCACTACAAAACCCACCTTTCGCCTTGATCGATGGCTCCTCCCGGAAACGGAGAAGCAACAGTTAGTTGGACGTCCAAGGCGCGCGCAGTGCAGCGGCAAATCCAAACTCCCTTCCTGAGAGCAAAGAGCAACCCACCAAGGGAGACCACCTGGGAGACCTTGACCAATGGTTCGCTGTGCAAGGCGTTGGACATGAAGGACCCGGACCAAGCAAATGATCAATGGAAACTCTTACCCAGTCACTCCATGTATGCCATAGTATATGCCTACATTGGGGTGGTTTTAGGGGTCAATGTAGGCATATATGGCATACATGGAGTGTCTGGGTTATAACATCAGGCATGCTCATTTTGAGGTGATTGTAGATCAATTTGTTATTGAGGCTTCCCCACTGGAGAGACCAATCTCCGCAGCTGGGGTGTGATTTTGGGGTCTAAGCAAAGCTCTGCAACTCAACAGTGGTACGCGCTCCGTGGTCATGAACTTCGTGTTGTCAACTGTCCTCAGAGTCCTTGAGATGTGTGCGAACCCTCCTTCATCCTCCTGATGGAGTATACCAAAGCTCTGACATTGAAGACATCTGCATCATCTGGAAGGTTCCATGCAATCCCTTTGGTCAGCCTCTTTCAGCCCGGAAACAAGATAAGCAAAAAAGACACACTTCCACCACCGCCGAAAGTGAAAAGGGTTGGTCCAAGGCGCGGGAGTTGATGAGCCCAAACATCAAACCTCAGCGGAACAGTCTTAGGCGAAAATAGGCGAACACCGTCAGAATTGAGCTCTGATTTGGCTTATATCCCATTACCAGGGCCCAGTGGATGATGATGGTTAGCAAGGGCTTTTCTCAGTGATCATCCTTTACCGACTGTTACTGGTTTGCTGGGCTACACCCTGGCTCTGATGCAGCTGGAGGAATGCTCTGTGGTAGGTCTCTCAGTCCTAGTGGATGGTCTTTGCACATGGACAGTCGCTCGAAAGGATCACGCCCCAAACTGAACGCTCTTCCAGTGAACGCACAGGGGAAGAGGCAGGAACAAAGTGTCTTAGACTCCAACTTGTGCAAAATTCCAAATCAAAAGATCAGCAAAATTTGGATTAACGATCATTAACTGTATCTAATTTTTTCTATAATTTGTATTGCTAATTCCAGATGAAAACGTGTCTTAGGTCGACCTCACATTGAACACTTCAGGTCGACCTGCACGTTCACTGCTTTGCAGAAACCGCCGACCCACCGACCCACCGGTCATGGCAGGCACTGGCTGAGCACGTTGGTGTCCAAGCGCATGGAACGCAAGTGCCCACCTGAATGGACGGCGGCGTTTTTTCCGACGAAAGACACGGAATCCGCCTTGGAACCTTGGAAGGACACCGTGTCTTTCGGATGAAGCACTTGGAATCCGCAAGATCTGGAGAGTCTTTCGACCCCTTGTCCTTCACGTATAGCATTGAAAACAGAAAAACAAACAGTTTGAGACTATACAACATGATAAACATCTGAGGACCGCCGTGTTCTTTAATTCAGAATCCTCAGAAGATCTCAGAAGGCATGCTTTAGACTTCTCCCATACCACCATGGACCATGCACTGCACCACCAGGCCGCCTGCGCGCCAATCCGCCGAGCCCACGCCGCTGCCCCCACGCTTGGCCGCGCTGAAGAGCATCATTCCTCGTGCGGGTCGCGGGTCGGGCGGGTCGCGTCTCGTCGTGAGCGCCGCAGTGGCACGCCACGCGTCGCGTGAGGTGCCTGATTTGGCGTGCCAAACATTTGGCGCGTGGGGCACGAGGCGTTCCGTGTGACAGTGAGCCACCCCAATGTAGGTATATTGTGGCATATATGGAGTGTCTGGGTAATGGTACCCATCTCAATCAAAGAAAGGAGCATCAGTTTTCACAACTAGGACCCACTGTCGGGGTGGTTAATGGACACCCCTTAACCTCTAAGGGGCTATCAATAGACACCCCTGGTCCGGGTGTCCTGGAATATTTCCCAAGGTTGACTCACTATCCTAGTGCTGAGAGCACAGGAGACCTTGTTTTTTGCACAAACCATGGCATATGTGTGTTCTTGTTGGCGGGTCAAGACCATCATGTCCGCAAGTTGACTGACCTGAAGCGGCCATGCATTCTTTCATCCAATGCACCTTCTCTCGGATCGATACTGAAGCGGCCGTCGGCCAGCAAGCCACCTGCGAAGATAGAGGGCGGAAGGATCCGACAACAACGGATGTCAACGGCAGAGCTGTTTCCGAATGTGTTGGCCGGAGCCAGAGTCATGGATGTTGGTGAAGTTCATCTATGTCCTCTGGTGTTGAAGAGGAGTGTGAGATGATGTTTTTCAACATCATGTTCAACATGTTTGAAACAACCTTGAAGACATGTTTCAGTGCCTTGAAGACAACGAAATGAAATCCCCCCAGGTTTCCCCCAGGTTACGTCAATCCATCCAGCGCCTTCTTTGGAATTGAGTCAACTCGCAGGATCGGATGTGGCCTCTTTGGATCGGGCGAGCCTTGATGTGGCCTTGATTGATGGCGACAAAGTGGTGGTGAGCTATATAATAGGATCCACCTGCCCCACCTGCCGTGGTATCTTGAACTTTGAAGAGGTGGAAGGTGAAGACCAACGAAACCAGGAACCCAAACCGCTTCGACACATCCTCTCCCGGTGGAGTTTAGGCCTGAAGTTTCCGGCATTGAACACCTGCTCTCCAATCCTCCAAAGATGATTCAAGGAGAATCACATGGTCTAAGTCTAAGTCTACCTTCTTCTCATGAATGCCACGTCCCAATCAGACCGAATCATATATACCACATGGTCTCCTTTTCTGACCTTCCTCGGCGGCCTTGACCCCCATCCACTGAGTCCGAAACCGACACCAGGGAGTCCCAACGGGACGACGGGACGATCTCGCACGTTTCCCTGCCTGGATCTCGCACGTTCAAGTGCATTTCGCCGTCCAGGTACACTTGGAAGGTGCCTCAAGGCTTGGGCGCAGATGCCAGGGTTTAGTGGGCGCTGGTACATGGGAGAACGGGGGTCAATGAAAAAAGAGGAGGAGTCAAACGGAGTCAGAATGAACAAAAGAAAAACAAACCGGTGGAGGATCAATAAAAGGATCAAGACTTAAACAACAAAAGACTAAAACAAAGTTGCAACTACCAGCAGTCTCAAAAGGGCGCTTAATTCAGGGTAGAGGGCCCATTATCCACTCACTTAGGGACTAAACACCACCCCTTTGTGACTGCTGGTATAGGGATCAACGCCAGATCTGCGCCCAAGCCCAGCAGTCCCGGCGGTTAAACGGGCAACAGTTTTATGGGATGTTCATCGGGTTTCAGGGTCAGATGATCTGGACGAAGTCAGAGTGTGTATATCTGTAAATCTCGCACTAATCATTTGGTTCCTATACAGTAGATTTGTTGGGAAACTTAACATTACCCCGAGGCTCCAATGCCTGGTATATTTGCCTACATTCAGCTTCGACCCTTTCAGAAACAACATTGGCCTCGATAGACCCAATGTATCCAAATTTTGAAGTCATTCAACTCGACAGATCTTATTAAACATTCGACAACACAAGTTCGACAGTCACCTTGATCACAGCACACTCATTTTTTTTCATTTCTGTCCCTGTCAGTGACGCATATATGTTTGGAGTCGGAGCAAGTAGCGCATCAAACATCGAAGCTCCAACAACCGTTTGCTGACTCTGCGGGCCAGGCCCTTGACGGTCCCCACACAGTCTTCATCACAATAGCTGTGATAGAACCGGCAGCAATAGAGCTGGTTCTTCATGGCATAGTCCAATTCAATGAATGCCTCACTGGCTCAACCACAGACCAGTGTTAGAGGAACTAGCTGCGCAAAATACAGAAAAGAAAAAACACACAAAACAAAAGAAACCAATGAACCATGCTGCATGAAACTTTGGCTTGAAGGGCCATCGCAAAATGCTATTCGCAACACAAAAGGAGGCCAGCTGTTGGTAGACATCCAAGAACCTTGACTGTACTCCTTCAAAGACAATACCAACCATGCTAACAATTGAGCTGTGACAGGGAATTGTTTGAATGAATGCCCCCACACACACAAGAAATGATCAACCCCTGAGAGATTCAACTCCAAATTTGATGGATTTTGAGCAGACAAGCAGCGACCATGCTGCCTGACTAATCTCCTGAGCCCTTGCACTGGAGATGTACCGTGGAGTGTTTTCGATGAGCAACATCCATGCAGCCAACCTTGTGCAGCTGACCGTTCCAAGAGCCAGCTCTATGTCCCTTTCATCGTCACTGAACTGCCGACATAGATCTTGGAGGCATACCGCAACAAAAGCCATCAAGACACGCGAGGTCCAAGCCTTGAGTCTCAACTCTGGAAATTCGCCCCGTGGCACTGCAATGAGTGCAACCGGTATGAAAGTCTGGTAGTGCCTGCCAGGAAAACACCTTTACTGTTACCTTATTGGTTTTCAGGGAAAAGTGGAACAGAACCCAACATGGTTTGACCTCCAACACTTCACACCTCACCTTATGCGATTGATACTGCACCACTTGTTGAAGCGAGAGGTGAGGATGCAAAGCTGGCTTTGTAGTGGAGGTGGCCCCAAATAGCCATGGTTTGCCAGCAGCAACACCCCACTAGCATTCAACCATTGGCACAGCCCTAAGTGGACCACGTGCATCTCGCAAAATGTAATCCGGCTTGGATGCCAGCCACAAATCCACATGAGTGGAGACACATGTTTGCATTGCAAGATGAACTGCGCAGTGTTAGATCGTGGAGTGGTGGCAAATTGACGAAAAGCCGTGTACCTTAGCAGGATGTATGTATCAAACATCAACACAATTGCAGGTGAAAGCCTTGCCAGAAAGAGATCAACACAAACAAAATGTGTTCTTACAAGCAAAGAACTGGTATGCTCCAGCGTTTGTACTAGCCTCACATTGATGACAAATGCTTGAAGCTTTGTAGTGCTTGCGGAGGCCCCACACTTCAACTTGCCATTTCCTCAACTAAATGAAAAGTGAACATCAACACCACCAAATAGATTCTGAACATAATTTTTGAGGTTTCTTTTGGGAGAAAGCTGCAAAAACTTTTTCAGGAGCAAAGCCAATGTTCCAATCTCCTCTGTACTCTACGACTGCCCAACGATCGCTCATCGCAGTCCCCCCCTTCTTGCGCCGAATTGGATCCAGCTCCTCTGAGTTTGGCCCCACTGATGGCCATCTCCCGATGAAGGCCACCTGCCCATTAATCTCAATGGGATCTAATCGAAGCTTTCCAGATCACAGGCCACACAAATGTTAAGACTAAACACAAAAGACTGAAACTTTGCACAGCAAGTGGCATTGAAACTCCATGCTACTACTCTCAAGATTGGGTCGAGGGTACGCTGGCCAAGCGATGCTTCATAGCGCAACACAAAGAAAGGAAACCGAGCAAGGTCCAGTCCTTGAGTCCAAATTGAATGTCCCAGCAAAACCAACAAGCACTAGCCACAGTCGCAGCAAACTCGGACATACAAAACCTTGCAAACAACATGAATAGTTGGGTGGTTTGTGACAAGTCGGCTTTGCACCCTAGCCCCCTAGCCAAAACAGGCGTTCATTGCAAAGTGTACTGACAACAACCAAGTCGCTCTCAATCTTTTGAAGTACAAAATTCAAGAGCATAATGATTATCTTCCGTCCAGCTAGAGTGTATTTTGCATCATCGCCAAATATACCCACAGGCTGATGCAATTGACCAGTTGGGTTTTGGTCTTGTTCATCTAGGGCTGGGTGGTGGGCCATGTGGGCCCGGACATGATCCCAATAAGTTTTCTTCTCGCGTTCCACCACATTGATCTTGTTGTGAACCTGAGTTGGAACAGCCACTGACGGTTGTTCTGAGTAAAGCTGTTTGTGGGAACCTATTTGAGAGACAAGCCCTTTAGAATCATTGGACGATTGAACCAAGTTGCAGTGAGATAGTTCAGCAGTTCATGCGGCAAGATCATAGGCATACGGACTGTCTCCGTCTTGTTCTTGTTCAAGGGGTCCCGTAGAATGGTTTCTACTGCCCAAAGATCCTTCGTTGGCAGGTTCAAGTAACCTCCAAACCTTTAAGACGTGTTCTGTTTTGACACCAGCTGACCAAAAATAAAGAACATGTCAATCAAGCAAACACCGAGTTTCAAGGGGAAGGTTCAGCAACCTGAACAGGTCCCTCTCACAATTGCCAGGATATCGTCCGTGTTTGCCTATGCCAGCAATTTTTCTGGTCAACGCACTGCATCCATTTTTGGATTCCTCACAGGCATGCCATGGAACATGGATACATTGAAAAGGCCAAACCCTTCATAAATAATTGGGTGAAAAACTTCAGAAATAGAATAGTTGCACAAATATGTCTAAATCGTGTCCAGGTATCTTTCACTGCGGCTGCAGCTGCTTGCTGCAACTCTAACACTGAGCTTGCCTCAACATATTTGGTGTAGACTTACTGAAGCATGGTGGGGTAGTGATCATGCCACCACTATATTTGACTCACCCAATGCTTGGGACCAAGCTGGAGCCATGTTTGGTGCTGCCGAGCTACACCACGTCCAAGTGTGGAGAGAAGATGTTCGGCAAAGGATACATCTGCGAGGCAGCATTGAAAGGGCAATGGTTTCGAATTGCTTCTTGTCTTGGGACTGGACTGGGGATTGGACTTGTGAGATGGCCAAATCAGAGCTAGTGCACACACTAGATCTTGGAGCCCATTTTTCTTTTCGGAGATCATCGACTGAGCTTGTTTGATTGAGCTAGCACAGACTTGGGGCATTCAGTCAACTGCACAGGAGTTTACTGAGTTTCTTGAGTGTATACAAACTGCACAGGAGGGAACTTCAAACAAGCCATGACCATCCATGACCAGGTTTTTTTTTGATGGCCGTGCAGGACACCCAAGCGTTCAAGATTGCTAAGCTGACCTCACGGATCTAAGCTTAAGGTCAGGCTGCAAGAAAGCAATGATTAAGCCGCAACAATCCATCCCTGCACCCTGGCTCCGAGTGGGAAAACAACCATGCTCGAGTATGAGTTTTGCTAGATGTTCATTAAACATGTACTAGTGCCAGGGTGACTAGCCCAAAGATTTAAGCAGCATGCACTGCAGTACCTGCCAACCTGCCCCTGCTGAAGGGATCCATGCTATGAGGGATTTTCCCAAAATATGCAGCACCTGTTCAGGCCGCTGCCTTTGCCTTTGCCTTGGCCTTTGCCTTCGATGCGCACTTTGGCTTATTCTGGTTCTCCAGCCCTTTGACACTCTTGGCCATTTGTTTGTAATCAGCAATGGCTTTTGCCAGCTTTTGGGTCTCACTTCGCAATGCATCATCGCCACTTCCACGGGACACACAGACCTCACATGGTGAGACACTTCAGGGATGGTGATTGATAAATTCCAAGTTCCCAACTTCAACTCCCTGGCGTGCTTGCTTGAGGGCTTCCAAATGTACCCCAAGATCCTTGACAACCGCCTCTCGCAATTGATTCGGCCTTGCATGGCAAAACACATGTGCCGCTGTGAGCTTGTGGTCCCATCCTGGAGATCCAAACAATAGGGAAAACCCCTGATGCTCGGCAACACTAGCAAACAAGTCTTGTTTCAACAGCCTTCGCATTCCAAAATTAAGCCTGTTGCCAAAGACATCGCCTGGGTTGCTTGGAGCAAAGAAACCAATTTAGGTGACCTTTTGGTTCCAGTCATGTCAGAATTTGTGACTGATGCAACATGTTTGTTGAACCAAGATACAGATTTGGCTTCCTGTTCTGCGGTTTTGGGCTTTGGAATACGCTTCTCCCTCTCTGGTTTCGTGGGTGGGGGTGGAGGAGGCATGTCATTGCCACCAGATCCACATGCTCCACTGGCACTGGCTTCGCTGGTAAATCTTGGGTCCAATGAAGCTGGATTCTGCCTCAAAAGATTGTGACATGCTCAATGGAC